TGGTGATTGAAGTTAAGATTCCCAATAGAATGTAGAAATGGGAGAACAACTAAAAACTACTTTTACTAGTTCTGAAGCTTTCAAAACAATGGTGAAAGCAAGCAATTTTAAAGTGTGTTAAATTGCTCACTTCTAACATACCCGGTACTTTTTCAAGTAAAACATTTTACCTGCCTGCCTTTTTCCTATAACTTAAATAATGTTAGTTGTTTCTTTTATTGTTTCTAAAGTACTTTTAGTAAAAACTTTTTTCTTATGGTTCAAATATTCTTATTTCCAAAAGACTAGCATCAAGATAAAATTATGCTTCTGTAACAGAGCAGTGGGACAAAACTCCCATTCACTTCAATTGGGTCAGGATTCAGACTTTATATAGTTATAAAACTATGCAATAGCAATATTAAAACAATACTTTAGGGAATTGAAATAAAGAATTTCAAAATGTGAGTTAATTTGTTATAATTTATGCAGATATTTACTTTTGGCATTATTCCCAATTTGGATAGTGATTTTTTTTTGTAGTTATATTCTGATCAATTTCATTTTTTTAGAAATACCAGATTTTACAGAACCTACACTTATTAACAATGTTCAGCAATACATTGCCTTTAAATCTACCTGTTCTGTAAGTAATACTGCATGTATTCTGACAGAACTTATGTTCTAGAGAGTTACTTAATGTGCCACCATATAATCTTTGTTGTAGGCTACAGCTGGGCAATGGTGAAAGAGATGGCTGAAATATGCAATGCACTTACTCAACCTGTAACATTTCCAGTAAGAGCAGCATTAATATGGCAGTCAAAGTCTGAGTTGCTTTGGCTATTACAACAGTCAGAGAGGTAAGTTTTAAAATTTATATTTGAGTAATTTGCAGGATAAATGCAGATATTGTTTAGATACTACACTATTATTTAATTTATATGATAACATTTTAATTGTTCCATCTTAGTTCTAGAAGCCTATAATAATATAAAAGCAATGGATGACTGATAAAACATAGTGAAATAAGGTTTTCAGTCACCTTTTTCATTTAATCTTTGGTATATCTGTACATGTTCTACTTATATACACATTATACTTTGTTTATTAGATTTATTACTGAAACTCCAAACATGGCAAGGTCCCCTCTCTGTACAAACATATAGATAAGCCCACTATGAAGTGCTTATAATAATTAGACAAGACAAAGGGTGGAAAATTAAATGTTATTATTCCCATTTGACAGACTAAGATAAGAGAAAAAATAAATTATAATTAAATATTTAAAAGCACTTCTAAAAATCATCCAAATAGCTTTCCAGAGTTAAATTCTATTACTCTTGTCTACTTGAGGGTTAGATTTAAATTCCCAGTTCTATTTAGAAGCTGTGAATATTTTTTTTCGAAGTTGTGGAACTCCTTTTTCTAGCTCTACAGTATCACAGGATACCAGGCCATAAGCCTGTTACTGATCTATCACACAATATTGACCATCATGGGCACCTAAGATAACTTGATTTGGGAGTGGGAGGAACATAAAGGTAGAGATAAGAATTTTCTGTGTGGAAGAAAATACATTTCTATGGTGGGTTGATTGTTGTTTTAAGTTTTTAACATTGGACTATTTCAGAATTTAAAAATGTTATAATAATATGAGAATGCCATAATAAAGTTATAATAAATTCTGAAGCAGATTAAGTTAGTGAGAACGGTGCAGGTGAGGGGGTCAAGATAGATAAGGAATTGAGCTAATCATATAACTCTGAAGTCATTATGCATCTAGTCATTTTTACTGTATATAAATAAAAAATAAGGTTGTCTTGGTAATTTCATCAATAGTTAAAGATTGCCTAACATTTTCCATTATTAACCTTTTGTTTTTTTCTTATTTATTACTTTTCCAAATTTTAACCTTTTGTTCTGAACCTTTTTTGCTGAATGCCTCAGACTATTTTTTTTTAACCGTCAGCAACTGAATTCAGTCATTTCCAAGACCAAGGTTAGGGAAAATATGTTGTTTTATCCACAATAAAATTGTTTACAGCTCTTTCATTAAGAAGCATTGGTTCTGAAGTAGGAACTTAAATTGGGTGAGCGGGGTCGGCTCTGCACCTCCACATGGGGCTTCCGGCACTCCAGTGGGGAGCCTCACATGGAGGTACAGATCTTGCCCAGTCTGATGGCATCCAGATCTTGCCCAGTCTGATGGCATCAGCCCAGGTGGGCTCTGGGCCTCCACATGTGGCTCCCTGACAGTGTGCTTGAAGCCCCACGTGGAGTCACAGAGCTGAGCTGGTCTGGCCCGGACCGGTCCAATGGTACGCAGCTCCCACCTGCAGTTCCAGGAGCCCCGCATGTTGGCACGGAGGCAGCCTGGTCTGGTTTGAAGGTGCGCACCAGTGGGATGGCAGGCTCTGTGCTGCCATGTGCCGTTCCCAGGATTCAGCTGGAGCCATGCACCGCCAAGAGGCTCTGTCTGCAATGGGCCAGGAGCACCACAAGGGCCTGCTGCTTGCAGCTGCTGCTGTTGCCAGTGGCAGGGGCTGTGTGCCATGGGGGGGGCACCCCCACCCAGCAGGTAGGAGCTCCCTTCCCCACTCACCAGCTGTCCAGTCATGTGCCATTGTGCTCAGTGCTTCCACATAGGGCTCCCAGATGGAGTGCCAGGAGCCCCCACAGAAGCAGAAGCACAGAGCCCACCCAGTTGGATGGTACACAATCTCTGAAAGCCTGTGCTTCCTGCCAGCTTACAGAGGAGCAGCCACAGGCCAGTAATGGTTTTTTGGAGGGGCTCCACAGGCTAGATAGAATAGCCTGGCAGGCTGGATCTGGCCCATGCACTGTATTTTGCCTGCCCCAGCCCTAACCCCCGATCTTTGCCACCAGAGGTCCCTCCCCTTGCTGCCAGAAATACTCCTTTTAGGCAGGGGGGTTGTCATCTTGGAAATGGAAAAAAAACATTATATACTAAAAATCTACTATAACATTTTTTAATTTTATTTCAAAAAGTGTCTTTATTTACATGTGTTTGCATAGTGTATATAAAGGTGATTGCATAATAGCTTAAAATAAAGTCTTACTCTTGTATATTGTGTTTGGGGGATTGTGGGGTGTGGTTGGGGGCGTGTGTGGGAGATTTGGGGGGGGGGGG